AATTTAAAAAAATTTTAAAAATTACAAAAAATACAACAAAAAAAATCATTTAATTTTTTTTTTTTTTTTTTTAAGTCTTAAATATATCCAATTTCCTCCTTTATTTATTTATTTATATATTATTTTTTTTTTTAGATTTGAAGTACCCCATTTTAAAAAAAAAAATAGTTAAAACTTATAAGTTTATAAAAATAAATACAAAAAAAAAATATAAAAATATAAAGAAAAAAAAAGAAAACAAACTTTTTAAATATTTATTAGAAACAGAAGAAATAAAAAATAAATATTTATATAAATAAAAACCAAAAAAAAGTTCAGAAAATCCATTTAAAGACTTAGACACTTTAAAAGAAAAATTAAAAAAAGGAAATTTTAAAAAATCAGTTTTTAAAAAGTAAAGAAATCACATTTGACCTAAAAAAAGCGAAATTTTAGAATTAAAGCAAAATAATCTTCTAGAAAAAATAATACAAAAAAAAATAGAAAAAAAACATAAAACTAAAACCAGAACCTTTAAAGTAATAGGTAAAACAACATAATTATAAGGAAAAAAAAAAAATAAAGAACCAAAAAAACCTAAAAAAATTGAAAACAAAAACAAAAATCCTATAGAATATTCAATTCCTAACTTTTTATTAGAAATTTCAAGAGGATAATAAAAAGGATTTTTTAAACTTAAAAAATAAATTAAACGAAAAGTATAAAATACAGTTAAAAAAGTTCCTAAAAAAATTAACACAAAAAAAAGTGTATTAACTTTTTTTAACAAAAATAATTCTAAAATCAAGTCTTTAGAAAAAAATCCAGATAAAAAAGGAAATCCACATAAAGATAAATTAGCTACATTAAATATAGATAAAGAAAAAGAAAAATTTTTATTTATAAGACCAAAAAATCGGATATCTTGATTATCGAAAAAGTTATGAATAAATATACCAGCACATATAAATAAAAGAGCTTTAAATCTAGCATGAGTCACAAGATGAAAAAAAGCTAAATTGGAAAGATTTAATCTAATAGAAGTTATTATAAAACCTAATTGTCTTAATGTAGACAAAGCAATAATTTTTTTTAAATCATATTCAAATACTCCAGAAATTCCTGACATTACTATAGTTAAAAGAGAAATAAACAATAAAAAAAATTTTAAGTTTTCTGAAAGAAAATAGTTAAAACGAATTATAATATAAACTCCAGCAGTAACTAAAGTAGAAGAATGAACAAGAGAAGAAACGGGAGTAGGAGCTGCCATTGCAGCAGGTAATCAAGCAGAAAAAGGAATTTGAGCTCTTTTAGTTAAAGAGGCAATAAGAAAAAAAATTCTTAATCAAGTTAAATTTAAAGAAAAAACATAATTTATATATCTTCACCTCCCCATAGAAAAAAATATAGCAATAGAAGCTAAAATAAATACATCTCCAACCCGATTAGTTAAAGCAGTAATTATACCAGATGAAAATGATTTAAAATTTTGATAATAAATTACTAAACAATAAGAAATTAAACCTAAACCATCTCAACCCAATAATATACAAAAAAAATTAGGACAAAGGATTAAAAAAATTATAGATACAACAAATAAAAGTATAAGAAAAAAAAATCGAGTCTTATAAATTTCTCTGTCTATATAGAAGTAAGAATAAAAAATAATAGATCCTCTAATTAAAAGAACTATAGATATAAATATACAAGAAATAAAATCAAAATAGAGGGGAAAGGTAACAGAAAAGGAAGAATTTATTATAGTTCAAGAAAAAAAATACCTATAATTAAAAATAATTATTTTAAAATAAAAAAAAAAAAAAAAAAACTCAGCAAAATAAAGAATGGAAACATATAAAAAAAAATATTAAACAAAATTTTGTGAAGTAATTAATTTTTGATTCCACAAATCAACGTCTTTTTTAGACTAACAAAATCATTAAAAAAAAAAAAACAATTTTATAAAAAAAAAAAAAATTGGAAAAAAATGTATATATAAAATGAAATATTCAATTAAGTAACATGAATTAAAAAAAAAAATTCTAGAATATATGGAACCATGATTACAAAAAGAAAACAAAAATAAATTATATACCCCTCCTAAAAAAGAGATAAATATTAAAAAAAAAACAAATAAAAATCTTCAAGAAATTAAACCATTTATTAAAAAAATTTCCCTAATCAAATTTAAAGAAGGAGGACAAGCCATATTAAAAGCACAAAAAATAAATCATCAGATAGACAAAGAAGGAAATATAGATATAAGACCTTTATTTAAAAAAATTCTTCGTCTTCCAGAACGTTCATATAAAATATTAGCTAAAAAAAATAAACCAGAAGAACATAATCCATGAGACACTATTAGTATTAAAGAACCGATTAAAGAAGAATAACAAAAAATTAAAATTCCAACAATAACTAAACTCATATGAGAAACAGAGGAAAAAGCAATAATGGATTTTAGATCTACCTGTCGTAAACAAATAAATCTTGATAAAATTCCGCCTCAAAGACTAATATAAATTCAAATGGAATTAAGATTACTAAACTTTTTAAATAGATTTATTAAACGGAATAAACCATATCCCCCTATTTTTAATAGAACACCAGCCAAAATTATAGAACCTCTTAAAGGTGCTTCAACATGAGCTTTAGGAAGTCATGAATGAACTAAAAATATAGGTATCTTAATTAATAATGAAATAACTAAAAATATATATATGAGATAATAAGTTCTCTTTAAATTAAAAAAAAAAAAAATTAAAGAAAAATTTATTTCTTTTAAAAAAAAAATTCTTATCAACATAGGTATAGAACCAAAAAGAGTATAAAAAAATAAGTAATAACCAGATTTAATTCGTTCTACTTTATTACCCCAACCAACAATAATAAATAAAGTGGGAATTAAAGTAGCTTCAAAAAAAAAAAAGAAGAAAAAAAAATTTCTTACAGAAAAAAACATATAAAGGAAAAAAAATAAGAAATAAAAAAGAATTAAAAAAAGTTTAGAAAAAGAGGATATCAAAATGTTTATACTAGATAAAATACTTAAGAAAACAATTCAAAAGGTCAAAATAATTATTAGAAAAGAAAAAAAATCTAAAGAAATATATAGATTTTTTCTAAATAAAGATAAATTAAAGTTTAAAAAATGGAAAAAAGGGTAAAATATTATTATTAAACTTAATAAAATAAATCATTTAATTCCTATTACAAGACAAAAAAAAAGAACAAAAAAAGTAAAAGAAATTGCTAAAATATAGATAAATTTATTGAACGAAAATTTAAAGAACCAAAAAACTTAATAGACTTAACTAAAATAGAAAGACCCAAAGCACTCTCACAAACAATAAAAATGAAGTAAAATAATAAAACTTTTAAAGAAAATCCAGAAATTATAAAAATAAATAAAAAAAAAAAAATAATTAAAGAAATTGATTCCAAAATAAGTAAAGAATTTAAAAAAGAATAATAATTTTTAAAAAAAACAATTAAACAAATTAAAAAGAAAAAGAAAAATCTAATCATATTAATGTTAGTTTAAATTAAATTAATTCTAATAAGTTTTGTAGTTTATAAAAAACATAAAATTGCAAATTTTAAGAAAATTAATTTTCAAAACTTAAGATAAATCTTAAAAAATATTTTAACGAAATTAATAAACAGACTTTTTTTAACTCTAATTTTAACTAGTATAATAATATATTTTTTCTCATTTCATCCAATCATAATTGGAAGAATAGTAATTTTTCAAGCCATCATCTTATCAAGGTTTATCTCTAGAAAAACTTTTTTCAGATGATTCGGATTCTTTATTTTCATTATTTATTTAGGAGGTATTCTAATATTATTTTCATATATTATTAGATTAATTAATTCAAAAAGAATTATCTTCTCTTCTAACAAAGTTCTAATTTCAACTTTTTTAATTTCTTTCTCATTTAACATATTCAAAGAAAAAAAAAGATTTTTAGAAATTTCTTCAAGTAAGTTCACAAAATTAATTATATCAATATTTAGATTAAGATCAATAAAACTAAGAATTTACTTAATAATTTTTCTTCTTTTGATTTTAATCATAGTAGTTTATATGACAGAAAATAGAAAAGGAAATATACGAAAACTATAATAGTTTAACCAAAATAAATATTTTTTAAGTTTAGTAATTTTAATAGATTATAAAAAAAATTTCTTACAATAATTTAAAGTTTATTAAATTAAACATAATCTAAAAATCATTTATATAAGTTAAAGTAATTTAGAAAATAATAAAAATTTTTAGTAATTAAAAAGAAACATTAACTAAAATAGAAAAAATAAAGATTTGTTCCTTGTGTATCATGATACATAGAAATAAAAAAATATTTATTTATCTCGAAAAAAAAAGAACTAGAAATCATTTTGCTTAATGTTTCACAATTAAGAAAAAAGAAATCTAGAAATAAAAAATTTACATTTTTTTTGTTATCTAGTTATTTTAGAAAAAAATTTAATTTTAGTTGATAATAAAAATTATTCAAATCTAGTTTTTAAGGGATTATCTTTAAAAACAATTTTAATTAATAAAAAATTTTTAAAAAAGGAATTAAATTAACCAAAAAATTTAACAATTTAAATTTTTTAAAAAAGATTTTATATTAATTAAGATTTTATAAATTTAAAAAAACAAAAATATAAAAAAAAAATTATGTAATTAGTAAATAATAGAAAAAAAAATTAGGAACTCGGCAAATAAAATTATCCGAATGTTTAACAAAAACATTGTTTCTAGAAATTATTAGAAGTACAGCCTGCTCAGTGAAATATTTAACAGCCTTTTTAAGCTAAGGTAGCATAATAACTTGTCTTTTAATTGAAGGCTAGAATGAAAGGTAAAACGAGATAAAAACTTTCTTATTTTTTAAAATTAAATTTATCTTTTAAGTAATAAGACTTAAATTTTTTAAAAGGACGACAAGACCCTATAGAACTTAAAATTTTCATTAAATAAAAAAAAGAAAAAATTTTACTGGGGAAGTAGAAAAATAAAAATTTTTTTTAAACAAAACAATTTAAAGAACAAAAGATCCTTAAAAAAGAAAAAAGAAAAAGTTACCTTAGGGATAACAGAGTTAAATTTTTTGAGAGACCAAATCGAAAAAAAAAATTGCTACCTCGATGTTGAATTAAGATAAATAATAATAGAAGAAAATTATTTTATTAGGTCTGTTCGACCTTAAAATCTTACATGATTTGAGTTAAGACCGGTGTAAGCCAGGTTGGTTTCTATCCTTTAAACCACAACTTTTTTTAGTACGAAAGGACCAAAAAAGATAAAATCTTTAAACCAATAAACAAATAATTTTGTAATTAAAGTAATATATATATATATTGGTAATATCAAAAAAATTTTTTAAAAACTTAGAAAAATGATTGTTTTCAACTAATCATAAAGATATCGGAATTCTATACTTCATTTTTGGATTTTGATCTGGGATAATAGGTTTATCTCTTAGAATAATTATTCGATTAAATTTACGAACATCAATAAAATTATATGTCAATAACGATCAATTTTATAATTCAATTGTTACAGCACATGCTTTTATTATAATTTTTTTTACAGTTATGCCAATTATAATTGGAGGTTTTGGTAATTGATTAGTACCATTAATATTAGGAGCTCCCGATATAGCATTTCCACGATTAAATAATATAAGATTTTGACTTCTTCCACCTTCTTTAACCCTCTTAATTATGGGTTTATATAAAGAAGGAGCAGGAACAGGATGAACAGTTTATCCACCTTTATCAACATTTTATCATGCTGGAATTTCAGTAGATTTAACAATTTTTTCTCTCCATTTAGCTGGGGTATCCTCAATTTTAGGAGCATTAAATTTCATCACTACAATTTTAAATTTAAAAAATAAAAATCTTTCAAGAGAAAAACTTAGATTATTTGTGTGATCAGTTATATTAACAGCAATTCTTCTGCTTTTATCTTTACCTGTTCTTGCAGGAGCCATCACAATACTTTTAACAGACCGAAATTTAAACACATCATTCTTTGATCCAAGGGGAGGAGGAGATCCAGTACTTTACCAACATCTATTCTGATTTTTTGGTCACCCAGAGGTTTACATTTTAATTTTACCAGGATTTGGATTAATTTCTCATATTATTACACAAGAAAGAAATAAAGAAAGAACTTTTGGATTACTAGGAATAATCTATGCAATAATAGCCATTGGGTTTTTAGGCTTTATTGTTTGAGCTCATCATATATTTACAATTGGTATAGACGTAGATACACGAGCTTACTTTACATCAGCAACAATAATCATTGCAGTTCCAACAGGAATTAAAATTTTTAGATGACTAGCAACATTTTGTGGATCTAAGACAGATATAAAAATTTCAACTCTTTGAAGAATCGGATTTGTATTTTTATTCACGTTAGGAGGATTAACAGGAGTAATATTATCTAATTCTTCAATCGACATTGTTCTTCATGATACTTATTACGTTGTAGCACATTTCCATTATGTATTATCAATAGGAGCAATCTTTGCTATCTTTGCAGGATTCATTCATTGATATCCATTATTTACAGGTCTAATACTTAATAAAAAATGACTTAAAATCCATTTTTATATTATATTTTTTGGAGTTAACTTAACCTTTTTTCCTCAACACTTCATAGGTTTAATAGGTATACCTCGACGATATTCAGACTACCCATTTTTGTTTGAAATTTGAAATAAAATATCTAGATTTGGATCAGTAGTAAGATTAACAGCAACAATTTATTTCATTTTTATTTTATGGGAAAGAATAAGAAGAAAACGTATTCCAATTATAATTAATAAAAATAGATGATCAGTTGAGTGAAATAAATCAACACCAACAAAAGAACATTGCTTTTTAGAAACACCTAAATTATTTTACTAATGATAATCCTAATTTTTATTTCTTTAACCAGATTTATTGTAACTCTAATTTTAATAACTTTATCTCTTACTGTTTCTAAAAAAACTAATAAAATACGAGAAAAATTAATTCCATTTGAATGTGGATTTAACTTTTTTAATTTTGCACGAATACCATTTTCAATACAGTTTTTTTTAATTGCAATTATCTTTATTATTTTTGATGTAGAAATTATTTTAATTCTGCCACTAATTCCAAGAATTTTTAAGAGAAATTTAATTAAATGAAGGTTAACATCAACATCTTTTTTAATAATTTTAATTTTAGGAATTTTTATTGAATGAAAAGAAAAATCATTTGAATGAAAAAAATAATTTTGTAGTATAATAAATACATTGATATTAAAAATCAAGAAAGAGATATAATCTCCTAAAGTAATACATTACTACAACATTTTTTTAAATTCAAGAAGAATCACAATCTCAGTAATAGAAGAATTTCACGATTACACAAACCTTTTTTTATCTATAATTATCACATTTATTCTTATAATTATCGTGAAGTTAACAATGTCTAAATTTACAAATTATAATTTCAAAGAAAACACAAACTTAGAAATTATTTGAACAATCTTACCAATGTTAATTCTATGTTTAATTGCTTATCCATCATTATACTACTTATATCTATTCGATTTAAATATAAATCCAACGATTTCTGTAAAAGTTTTTGGAGCACAATGATACTGAATTTACGAAAATTTTGATTCAATTAGAGGAAATTCCTATAGATCTTATATAGTTCCCGACAATGAATTATTAAAAGACAATTTATCTAATTTAGGATGACGACTTCTTATAACAGATACACGATTAATCGTTCCATTTGGAACCGAAGTACAATGTTTAACTACTTCTCTAGATGTAATCCATTCATTTTCAATTCCTGAACTTGGAATTAAAGTCGATGCAATTCCAGGACGACTTAACTCTGTAAATTTTAAAGTTACTAAACCGGGTCTATACTATGGTCAGTGTGCAGAAATTTGTGGAACAGGACATTCATTTATACCAATTTGTATAGAAGCTATCTAAAATTTATGTTTCTGTTGTAAAAAGCAAATCTATTTTCCAAATAGAAAGTCGATCAAAATCGGTAACATCCTAAAATAAGTTAATTTAAAACTATTGAACTTTTAATTCAATTTTACTATAAAGTTTTTAGGTTTCTCAAAAGAAAATACCAAAAATTCCATTTCATTTAGTCTCACGAAGACCTTGACCAATTTTAGCTTCATTCCAAGTTTTTAATATAGTTTATTCTACGGCTAAATTATTTAATAGAAGTTCTTCAAGATACATTTTTTTAACAAATTTTTGTTTAATAACTCTAATCTCATGAAACTGATGACGAGACATTGTACGTGAATCTACCTATGAAGGTAGACATACAAAAGAAGTAATTACAGGACTTAAATTAGGAATAATACTCTTTATTACTTCAGAAGTATTTTTTTTTTTATCATTTTTCTGAGCATTCTTTCATTGTTCTTTATCTCCTGATATCTTTATTGGTCAAATATGACCATGTAAAGGAATTAAAAGATTTAATCCTATAGGAATTCCCCTTATAAACACACTAATTTTACTGAGATCAGGAGTGACATTAACAGCAGCTCATCATTTTTTGATAACAGGGAAAAAAATAAAATGTAACAACTTACTGATTTGTACAGTTATATTGGGGGTTTACTTTACAATTTTACAATATATTGAATATAAAGAAGCATCTTTTACAATCGCAGACTCAATTTATGGGTCTACTTTTTTTATAGCTACAGGATTTCATGGTATTCATGTACTAATTGGAACAATTTTTTTATTTATTTGTTTAGTACGAAGAAAAACAAATCATTTTTCATCTTATCACCATTTTGGATTTGAAGCGGCAGCATGATACTGACATTTTGTAGACGTTGTATGACTATTTTTATACATTTTTATTTACTGATTAGGAAAATAATTTATTAGTTAAAACCAAAAAGAGGTACACTACTGTTAATAGTGAAATTGAATTAATTCTAACTATCAATATAGTTTAAAAAAAACAGCAATTTTGTAAATTGACATTATATTTTATTGTTATTGATATATAATTGAGATAAAAGAAATTAAGCTTCTAACTTAAATTAAGTCTTAAAGGACTATTATCTTTATAGATTATAAAATTAACTCTTTAGCAAAGTTAATGTGTTAAGCTTAGAACTTAAAGAAAGGATAATATCCTAAGAGTTACCAAAATTATCACAAAATAATAATTTTTTATTACATTATATATTATTTTTTTTTTTAGATTTGAAGTACCCCATTTTAAAAAAAAAAATAGTTAAAACTTATAAGTTTATAAGAAAAATTATCCTTTAAATCTCTTCCAAATTCAGAAAAGAAAATTATTTCATTTGTAATATCCAAAATTACTATTTTTATTAAATTATTTTCTGATATTTAAGATTTATCTATATTTCAAAGGATGCCTGATAAAAGGGATATTTTGATAGAATATATAATGGAAATACTTCCTCCTTTGAAATAATCAAGTATAAAAATATTTACATAAACCCTCTTTTTAAAATTATTAATAATTCCTTAATTAAATTACCATCTCCAAAAAACATTTCTCTTATATGAAATTTTGGTTCTATTCTAGGTTTATGTCTAATTATTCAAATTTTAAGAGGATTATTTTTAGCTATACACTATGTTCCTAATACACAAATAGCTTTTCAAAGAGTTATTCATATTTGTCGAGATGTAAATATAGGATGAATAATCCGAATTCTACATGCAAATGGAGCTTCCATATTTTTTGTTTGCTTATTTATCCATATTGGACGAGGAATCTATTATGAATCATTTTTTCTTATTGAAACTTGAAATTTAGGAGTCATTATTTTTTTACTTACTATAGCTTCAGCTTTTTTAGGATATGTTTTACCTTGAGGACAAATATCTTTTTGAGGAGCAACAGTCATTACAAATCTTCTTTCAGCAATTCCTTACTTAGGACAAATATTAGTCTATTGAATTTGAGGAGGTTTTTCAGTTGATAACTCAACTCTAAATCGATTCTTCGTTTTTCATTTTATTCTACCATTTATTGTTTTAGTAATAGTAATCTTTCATTTATTCTTTTTACATATAAAAGGCTCTAATAATCCTTTAGGGACTTCTAGAAAAACTTTTAAAATCCCGTTTAGGCCATATTTTAGATTAAAAGATTTAATAGGATTTATATTATTTTTTTTTTTAATTATTTTTATCGTTTCTTTTTACCCATATTACTTAGGAGATCCTGATAACTTTTCAATTGCAAATTCTATAGTGACTCCAATTCATATTAAACCAGAATGATATTTTTTATTTGCTTATGCAATTTTACGTTCAATTCCTAATAAGTTAGGAGGTGTAATTGCATTACTTATATCAATTTTAATTTTGATATTTTTGCCCTTTATAAAAAAAAACAAAAAAACTCAAGGAAGTCAATTTTGCTTAAAAAAACAAATTTTATTTTGAACTTTAGTAATATCTTTTTTTTTATTAACATGAATTGGAGCACGACCTGTAGAAGAACCCTTTGTTCTTATTGGACAAGTCCTAACCATCATTTATTTTAGACTTTTTTTTTTGATTACTTCCTAAATACAAATTAGTAAAAGAACATAGTTCATAAATAAATTTACAGTTTATCATCTTTTTTAGATTATTTTACTTGAATCATGATATGGAAATTTTTCTTACAATCATGAAATAAAAAATTCTTTTTATATACAGAGAGGCCTTTTCTTTTTCAGTCTGATAAGAAGAATTATTATTTGTCTATCTTCAAATTCTTTTTTAAGAATATGAATAAGTATAGAAATTAACCTATTTTCTATAATTCCATTAATTTCAATTAACCAAAAAATTTTTAGAGAAAAATCAACTATAATATACTTTTTAATTCAAGGAATTTCCTCGAGAATTATTATCATTACAATTATTAGAAATATTAAACTTACAAAGAGAATTATACTAATTTTTATTTTTATAGCAATTTTTATAAAATTAGGATTATCCCCCTTTCATTTTTGAATAATTTCCATAATTGAAGGAATTAAATGAAATCTAGCATTTATTATTATAACAGTACAAAAAATTATCCCAATTTGTATCCTAATATTTTTTATTCATCAAAAAATAATTATCTTTATATGTTTAATAAATTCAATAATTGTAGCTTTGAGAGGAGTCACAATATATTCAATACGAAAACTTATAGGATTTTCTTCAATTAATCATCTGAGTCTTATATTAATTTCTATAATCTTATCAAAAAAAATTTTTAAAATATATTTTTTAATTTATTCTTTAATAACTTTATCAGCAACAAAATCAATACAATTAATAAATATAAATTTTCTATCACAAACAATAACAATTTTTAAAATAAGAAAAATTAATAACCTAAATAACTTAATTATTTTTTTGAGAATGGCAGGTATCCCACCATTTTTAGGCTTTATACCCAAAATAATTACAATTATATTAATAATAAAAAGAAATATAATTTTTAGAGTTCTAGTAATTCTTCTTTTAAATACAATTACCACATTTTTATATTTACGAATTTCATTAAACAACATTTTAATAAACTTAAATTTTAAAAAGACTTTTAAAGTTAAAAAAAAAACTAAATTACCATTATATTTATTATTTTCTCCCTTATATTTATTAATATCATGAAATTTTAAGTTAATAAAACTATTAATTTTCAAAATTAAAATTAAATAAAATTAAATTTCAATAAAACTTATACAAATATTAAGACTTTTAAGAATTCTAATTTTTTCTCTTGTTAGAGTAGCCTTTATCACTTTATTAGAACGAAAAATTCTTGGATATATACAAATTCGTATAGGACCCAATAAGGTTGGAATAAGAGGAATTCTTCAACCTTTTTCTGATGCTATTAAACTATATTCAAAAGAAATAAATTGACCATTTCAATCAAATTCTATCCCTTTTTTTATCTCTCCTTGTTTAAGTCTTTCAATTAGACTAATTATAACTCTCTTAATACCGTATTTGAAACCATTAATTAATATAAAGTTAGCCTTGCTAATATTTCTATCTATTCTAGGACTAGGAGTATACCCTATTTTAATTAGTGGATGATCTTCCAATTCAAATTATTCTCTTATTGGTAGAATACGTGCATTAGCTCAGACAATTTCTTATGAAGTTTCTTTAGTATTCATTATTCTTAGAACTATATTTTTAAGATCATCCTTATCTTTTTACTCCGTAATTACAACACAAAAATTATTTATATTTTTTTTTTTTTTAATTCCGTTTTATTTATGAATATTTTCATCAGTAGCTGAATTAAATCGAACTCCTTTTGATTTCGCAGAAGGAGAAAGAGAATTAGTCTCAGGATTTAATACAGAATATAGAAGAAGAAGATTCGCAATTATTTTCATAGCTGAATATCTAATAATTTTACTTTTCAGAATATATACAAGAGTTTTTTTTTTTAATAGAAACTGTAATATTTTAAGAATACCAAAATTTATAATGTTAATAATATTTTATATTTGAATTCGAGCAACACTTCCACGTTACCGATATGATAAATTAATAAATATTTCATGAAAATTTATTTTGCCAGTGGCAACATTTAACTTATTTATCTCAATCTTTTTGACAATTTATTCAAAATACTAAAAATAAGTTAAAAAAACTATTGGACTCATAATCCAACCTTGACCTAGTCTTTTTAGAAAGAGTAGTAATTTAAAAAAAATATTTATTTTGCATATAAAATTTACAAATTTGTCTACTTTGTTCTTTTAGCTTAAAAAAAGCGTAATATTGAAAATATTAAGTTATCTTTTTGATTTAGAACAAAATTTTCATTCTAGATAAAATTAAACTTTTTTTTATATACATGAAAAAAAAAAATTATTAAATCAGTATAAAAAGTTTTTAATATAAAAATATATAAAAAGAAAAAAAGTTAACTGATTAATTAAGTGCCAGCAATCGCGGTCAAACTTAAAGTTAAATTAATTTAGCGGAAAATGTAGTTAAAAAAAAGATAGAATTAAATTTTTCTAATAAAAAGTTAAATTTTAATTAGATTAAAAATTCAAACAATTTTTGAAACTACAAAACTCTTAACAAAAAAAGGATTTGATACCCTTGTATAAGAACAAAAAATTTATCCTGGGTAATAATAAAATTTTATAAACTCAAAGAATATGGCAGCATAAATAAAATTTAGGGATACTTGATTATTTAAATTTTGATAATCCACAAATACCTTACTTAAAAATTGAATAACTTCTATATCTCCGTTTAAGAAATTAATAAAAATTAAAAAACAACTAAATATTTTAAAATAATAATTCAGGTCAAGACAGAATATTTTAAGAACAATTGAGTATCATTGTAAATAAAGGTATATAAAACACTTTAAAAGTGTATGTAAGAGAACTTAAAAGTAATTTTAATTAAGTAAATTAAAGTGAATAAATATATATATTTATGTGTACAAATCGCCCGTCACTCTCAATCAAAATTGAGATAAGTCGAAACAAAGTAAGTATATCGGAAGATGTCCTTAGATTTTATACCCCAGATTCTACCGATACAAACCTATTCCATTTTATCTTTACTAATACTTAGAATTGTTAGGTTAATTTTATTAAACGAAATAAAATGAAAGAATTCGGTAAAAAAAAAAGAAAAAAGAAAAATATATGTAAAACGTACATTCTTTTTAAGACTTTTCATTTCCTTTGATCCTAAAACTTCATTTATAGGAGAATTGAATTGACTTATCTTAAATTTCACTTTGATTTTTATAATTTTTAGGTTCTGAAAAAAGCCTTCACGAACAAAAATTATTTTTATTGAACTAATTAATCAGATTAGAAATCAATTTAAAATTGCGTTAAAAACTACAAAAGATAGAAGTGAAGGAATTTTCATTAGTTTATTTATTATAATTTTATTCATGAATATAATAGGTTTGTTCCCTAATATTTTTACTCCTACAAGACATATTACAATAAATATAATAATTTCACTACCTTTATGAATTGGATTTATAGCCTTTGGTTGAAGAAACTTCACTAATAAAATATTAAGTCATTTAGTTCCTAACGGAACTCCAACAGCCTTAATTAGATTCATAGTAATAATTGAATTAATTAGGAACTTTATTCGATCATTAACTCTTAGAATTCGTTTAATAGCTAATATAGTTTCAGGACATTTACTATTAACATTAATAGGAAATTTAATAGAAAATTCATCAATTAGAATAGTGATCGTATTAACCTTTATTCAAAGAATTCTGTCTTCACTTGAATTAGGTGTAGCATTTATCCAGGCCTATGTTTTCTGTATACTTCTTACCCTTTATTCAAACGAATCAGATTACAACTAATTGTCTTAGTACATTAGTACAAAAACCTTTGAAGTTTTTAGAAAAAGTTTAAATCTTTTAGACAATTTAAATAAGCTATAAAATAAATTTAATTTTGTAAAAAGATTTAATTAATTAGCTTATTTAAAGCGTATATTTTGAAAATATAAGAAAGACAAAAAATTTATTAATTTAGAAGATATAATTTAAAAAAAATAATCCTTTGTCAAAGGAAACTTATTCAATTCCATGAATTTTCTTCTTAAAAGAAAATGTATACTAAATTAAATTTAAAATAATTTAGCTTTAAACCTTTTAATAAAATTAATGTATTAAGCTTAGAACTTAAAGAAAGGATAATATCCTAAGAGTTACCAAAATTATCACAAAATAATAATTTTTTATTACAACTTTTTAATTTTATATTTCATTAGATCCATTCAAAAAAACTTTCAAAAGTTCATACAAAATAAATTTATATAGTTTAAAAACATTATATTTTCAATATAAAATTAATGAATATCTTTTATAAATACCTTATTTTAATAAAATAGATAATCAATTAAATAAAACTAAGAAAATTATAATAAGAAAGCAATGTTTTTGTTTTTAGTTTCGACCTAAAAGAAAGTAGTAATACTCTTATTAACAACTCTAAATCTAATTTAAGAGCTAATTTTTAAAATTAAAACAAGGATCACCATCCTAGAGTTTATAGAAGTAATTCAAGAATTTATTTTTTCATATAATACATTTATACACATTGATTTAGTTTCATTAATTTTAGTAGTATTCATTTATTAATTTAATAAATTAGAATTATTTTTAATGAAATTAAAAAATTTACATAAATAAAAAATAAAATAAACTTTTATCTAACAAAAATATATTAACTAAAAATTGAAAAACTTAATCTTTAAAACATTCAAATAAACTAGAAAAACAATAAATCTAATTTTGTAA